GGTACACCAGGCTCTCCACCGTCGATTCTGCCAGATGTACCAGGCTCGTTAGACGGCCCATTGTTAGAGTCACAGAACTCGAATACGCCAACAGGTACACCAAGTTCTCCACCATCGATTCTGCCTGATGTACCAGATTTGTCTGACGGCGGGCCGTCAGAATCACAAAACACGAATACGCCAACGGGTACACCAAGCTCTCCACCATCGATTCTGCCTGATGTACCAGATTTGCCTGACGGCCAACCGTCAGAATCAGAAAATACTAATACGCCAACGGGTACACCAAGTTCTCCACCGTCGGTTCTTCCTGATGTACCAGATTTGGTAGACGGCTCACCGTCAGAATCACAAAACTCTGATACGCCAACGGGTACACCAAACTCTCCACCTGATGCACCAAACTTGTCTCCTGAGTCATCGTTGGATTTACCGAATTCTCCATCGCAAGATTCTCCACCTAATGTTCCATCACCAGACTCTCCATCTGTTTCGTCGCCAGACTCTTCGTCTGACGTTCCACCGTTGGATTCTCCATCTGATGCTCCATCGGACTCTCTTCTCGAGCCCCCATCTTCTGTACCTCCGTCGTCCAAACCTCCATCACTAGACTCCCCATCCGAGCATCCGCCCTCTGAGCCTCAATCATCCGTACCTCCGACCTTTGAGCCCCCAACATCCGTGCCGCCATCTTCCGAGCCTCCGTCCCACATGCCTTCGTCATCAAAGTCTGCGTCTAAGGAATCACCAACGGAAGACAATCCGTCAAAGTTGGACGAGGTGGAAACTCCAGCTCTAGATGAAATCGTTGAGTCCCCCGCTCCTGTAACTGCTAAACCACTTGATCGTAGCGATATTTCTTTTGAATCTCCAACAGGTGAGCCAGAATTACCTGTCGTGACAAAGTCACCTCTCGCCATTGAGACGAATCCGATTGATGAGGATGAAGTTGGGGAAGTACTGGAGCAGAATGCGATAGAACAAGCAGAACAGACACAATCGGATGTCATCATGTACGATGCGTCGTCAACTCCAATACCAGCCAAGAAAGGTCTATCTGATCCATTTGCCATTCCCGACATATCAACCTCAACGGTGCAGCCTGTGGTACTTAATATTGGAGGAACTACTAGTATGAGTGAGCCAACGAATCTCATGACATATGTTCGAGGAAAAACAACAGCGTCTGACAGTTCGATGGCGGATACTCCTCCCAATGTTATTGGAGGACGAAATACGTACGTGGACACGGAGGATAGTGACATTCTCTCGGCATCTACATCTGCTTTGCATGACTTTTTGCGATACTCTTCCGTGGCATTCGCTGGTATATCATTGGCGCTGTTGCTCTTTTTCCATTTTGTTTCTCTAGATGCGACTTTATTGTGGGTCAATGCGGCGTGGAGTCCAAACACATGGGAATTTATATTTTACATTAGTTATTTGCAGCAAATGCAAATTACTTCAGAACTCACACTACTCAAGACGCCATACTTTTTATGGGATTACACAGATTCATTTGCCTGGAGCAACTTTTTAATTCAAGACACAACGTCTACCGGTTCACCTGACTCTCGTCGACTTGAAACAATTATCTTGGGTGGATTGGTCTCGTACGCGGACCGAATTGGTATTCCCGAAGATAATTTATTGATCCACGGTGCCATTGGTTTTGCTGTGATTATGGGAATCTTAGTCACCGTGTTTCTAGTACTAGCAGTGCTTGCCAAACGCAAAGCAGAGCGTGCTTTAGACGACTCATCGGATCTTTCAAATTATACATCGGGTGTCCATCGTCTTCGTAGCGTTTCAATTCGTGCATTGGGTCTATGCGTACTCGTTTGGTACTTTGCACTCTTTCCTTTGAGTATGCTAGCATCTTTTGAAATCTCGATGGAAGTGCAAGCTGCGGTAGTAGCAGATCCACTGATCGTCGCCATTATTGCGCTCGTCCTCGTGTGTTTTGGTGTATTGGCTATTGCTGGACGTGTTATCATGCACAAATCAAAGGATGAACTAGAACAATTTGAAAATTTAGCTACTTGGGGCTCATTGTATTGCGAGTATACGTACCGCAGTCGCATGTTCTTCGTAATTGACGTTGTTGCTCAAATTTCAACTGGTGTCCTAGTAGGCTGCGTATCAAACGATCCAACACAGCTAATTGCTGTCATGGCTATTCAAGCCTTTTATCTCGCGTGTGTTTTTATCATGTCACCATTTGCAGATGAAATGGTGCTTCGTATCACGTACATATTGGGTTTGCTTAAGATGCTAAATTTTGGCTTGGCGTTTGCATTCTTGGGTACCAATACCATGTCGGCCACTTCTCGTTCACGCATAGCTCACGCTTATATTGGGATTAACTCGATTGTGATAATTGTGTGGTTTGTACGCCAATTGGTTGTCTTTAGTACGTACATTCGTGCGTGGATGGCGCGTACAAATGAAGAAAATCAGCGCAATGGCTCAACACTAAAGTACGAACGTCATACGGACACCGAATCGGAATTATGGGCTAGTCATTTCACGGTCAATGGAAACCAAAATCGAGGAGTTACGAATCAGTTTGATCAGAACGCGACACTTTCGTTTCCAGGCGATACGTCAATGCAGTCGATGCAGTCGATGCAGCCGTCGTTTCAAAGCTCATCAACGTCTTATAATCAGATGCCTCCAACTCAGTCGATGGCTGATCCACCACAGTATCAGCACCACTCCAATCGCAAGTATGAAATTGGCTTTTAGAAAACATTTTCTTCTTTTTCGAAAAATATAAAGAATAGTTTCTTGTTTATTGCTTCTTATATCGCATATATGAATAGAAGTAATAAAGTCCTACTTTTTAAAACCAATATGACAGTAATCTGAAATATTATGTTATTCTCGATTATTGATTGCCATCTATTCACCATACTCTACAATAAAAATTGGCTTATAATAATTTCGCACTCAATCACTAAGCGTAGCACTCGTCAGGCACATGAAACCATTCGTGGTCTTCATATTGAAGCCTTTGCTGACGAAATTGCTTAGATCGAAGAAATAAACCAATAAGTAGACCAGATAGAGTAGCAAGAGTCGCTGATACTACAACAGCTAGAAGCTGATACCAACCTTGCTCACTGGCTGAACGGTGGGTACGTGCATCAAAAACACTAGTCAAACTATTTCCATAAAAGTCATCGGAGGTAGAAAAAATGACCATCGCACCAGCAAATCCACCGATAAGACCAGGTATAGCATGCAAATTGAGAATACCGCAAGTATCCGAGAGTCGATACTCTTGCTCCATATGAGGTGAGACCGAGCAATAGCCAATTGTCGATACAATACCGACAATAATGCCAATTGTGATAGCTGCTTCCGGACAAATCGCAAGATTGCAACTTGTTCCCATGGCGACACCACCAGCAAGTGTAGCGTTTTGCACGTGAACCATGTCAATTTTTTTGGAATGACTCAATATTTTGGACGTTGCAAACGCAGATGCACAAGAAGCTGTGATGCTAAGAACGGTGCTGATCACAGCACGCTCTTGTTGAAATCCTTTTGAACTTACTAGAGCGGCATTGAAGGATGGCCAGTATATAAAGAGGAATAGTGTGCCAATCATTGCAAAGACATCCGAGTGATACCGAGATGTGCAATGTTCTTGTTCGCTTGCACTAGGTACTCCAAGCATGTAAGATACCGCAAGACCAAAGAAAGCACCAAACGTATGGATGACGATTGAACCGCCAGCATCAGTAACTTCAAGTGTTTCAATTATCAAGTATTCGTTTAATCCATAAATAATAATTTCAAAAAATGTCATCCAAACCATTTGAGTGGGAGTGGTCTTACCCAGAAGAGCACCAAAGCTAATTAAGACGGCAGCAGCAGCAAAATCACCATTTATGAGTATTGGAATATCCAATATCTTAGTCTTGAAATCGCCATCACCAATCTGATGAGCCATAGTCACAACAATTACACCCCACTGAAGTGAAAGGGCTCCAATAATAAAATTGAGCGATACGGCACTCAAACTGTACTTGTGTAGGAATGTCATAAGAAAGCCAAAACCAACGAAAATCATGACGTGAACGTCCAAAAACAGGGGATAGTAGCTGATGGTACTCACAGTATCAAGATTATCGTCTTCTAGACTGGGTATCTCAAATTTAAGAGCAAAGAAAAATAAACAGACCAATTCGAAAAGCGTAAGAGACAATGCAAAGCTCATTTCAATTGGCTTCTCTTCATTGTGATCAGCAGGTGTGCTGATCACACTGTGGTCAGCATCCGAGTGTGCAGTATTCCAGGCTTTGTCGTCTGTAGCTGAGAATAAAATACGATCACTGACCATAATATTAGGCTCTGGAAGATGATTGTGCTACGTTATGATTAATTGAAAATGGTACGTTCAAGTGAATGCTTTTTGAACGAACGGTAGTGCAACCAACTGAGCTTGAACGTTGACATGGAAAGGTTTGTACTATCCAACCACTGAGTATCAATTAAATAGAGTCCACTAACGATACGAAGCAGAAATTTCTGTACAATTATGTCGCGTAATGTGAACCAGAAATTCTGATTCTGCTTGGGAGTATGCTGGCTCTTACTTGTTATACTTCCCTTTTTTGCAATTAGGCTTTATAGTGGTTTTTTGCCATTTAAAATAGTCTCGTTATGATATTATCTTCGTCCAGTTAAAATGACGCACACACTATACAAATGATGTTAATCGAGTTTTTAACTGAATGAGTTTTAAAAGCCGGTTTATGATTTAAGGCACTGCGTGCTCAACAACGTGATTGTTACCGTATAGAGCAAACTACCATTGAGATTTTAAATTAAACTCTTCTTGTACTATGCCAAATTGTGGGTCGCTGATAAATGAAGCTCTATTGAGCCTAATACTGATTCTGTCCGGATCTCTGAGTCGAAGGGTAGTAACAATATCTTTGTATTCATTATGCCGAGATAAGATCTAAATAAATTAACCAATACAATTTACTGCCAAACAGTAAATTTAAACGCCTACGACAACGCCGCCACTCTTTCCTACCTGACTACAATCTGCAATCAATAGAAACGTAAAGGATGTGATTGCAGCATAAAAAAATAGTAGACTCTTGCCCATGATTGTGTTCGGTGAGTTTCTTTGCTACTATCGATTCTACACGATCGGGCAATGCTATAAACGCGTGCACCTAGTAGAGACACAGCCCATATATGTTTGTATTTGTAAAAGACGAGTTGCCAATTTTAAATTGTAGCTGGGACGTAGAGACAATAGAAGGAATGCGACCAGCCCTGGATCTAAAATTAAAATGAGAAAATGATATATAGAGAATTTTACAACACTTGATTACCTCGAACAAACTTCAAGTTCTGCATAATGAATGATGACTAAGTCACTTGATGACATAACCAATTCTTCTGCCGACCATTGACTTGACTGGCAATGCGTTCTTCTCAGAGCATTTTTTGAGTAAGCTACAAATATTATGCCCATCAGATCCTCCTTATCATCTGAGCAAAATCGTCTGTACATGTCTTGATGCGCATGTAACACTAACTTGATTGGAACCAAATGTGGCACGCATTACACGCATGTTTATTTCATGAAGTGCGAAATTGGACGGCCTGTCTGATTGTGCGACCTCATCTTTCGCGAACTAAGAAGAGTATTAATCACCACGCGGGTGATCTCATAGTAAAAGCGTGGCTGGAACGTCGTGATTTAGTAAAAGACGTCAGGTGCCACGCTTTCATTAGCTGTGAAGGAGATTCACTTTTGGCACGGACATGATTGTTGCTTTATGACATTGATTTGATAATCGAGGTGTTACAACGTGCTTCATGGTAAATTTAGAAGGCTAAAGCGGCGGCGAGCCTCGTATCTATGTGCGAAGAAGATTCAGAACAGAGTAGTGCCGCTATCCCCGGGGAAAGATCGACAAGCCAGACTGTACAGGATAGTCCTCCTTGTTACGATGTGATTGCGTAGTTGAGCCAGCAATACCGTGTGACGCGCCCACCTCACAGTGATAATCCTTAAAATTGTGACAAACAAGCTATCAGCCTGTCAAGGAAGGAAGTGCTTTAGATCTGCGCGGATGACGTGATCTGGTCTATAAATTATCTCTGGGTGGTCAGTCATACAGATGTCTGATCTGGTGCCAAGCATCGTAAGCAAAGCTTGTCGAAACTCTG